ACCCTCTGATCATCCACCTTATCATATTGGAATCACCAACTAACTCCATATATACCTAACCAGTATACCATCTGAGCAGTATGATTACCTATTCTTTTTGTACTAGTTCTCAGGCCATTATACATTTCAGAATATGTTATCTGCCAGTAAGATGCAGGAGGCCTCCAGTTGTTAACTATCTATTCATTTTTAAAACACTAACATGGACTACCCTTACAGAGTTCACCCAGACCCCAGTACTGACTTTATAGCATATCCCTAATACTTTTAGTATATCTCTGCTTTGAATTCAAACTCCTAATCCAAATAGTCTAGAAGGACTGTGACCTGTTTTTGATATATTGAGACTGGCCTAATATCCTTTTCTTTTAGTTTGAAATCCAGTGGTCTAATTGATGGTACCTCTCATCCAAGGTTCTTGTCTGCCTGAATTCTTCATTTTTTAGATTTAGCCTTTACAATAGTACTGTTAAAGATTTGTGTTATCTCTCTGCTCAGAATTTTCAAGTGGGCTTCAGCTTCTCAGTTCTATGAATTTACATAGTCCGAGAACTAATTTTAAGTTTGCACTGCCTGGTATCAGTTTGTATTCCTCCGTGTAACAGATTATACAGATAACCCAGACCTGCCAGTCATGCTAGTATGATCATAGTTATAGGTATCCTATTCTAACTAATTAACAGAATGTCATCACCATAATACCATCTATATATTACATAGGTGATTATCCAAATTTTACTATTAGTAGGTTTTGAACTTACTATCTATCACTTGAGGGTATAACAATTTATCTATTTTACTAAGTCACCAACTCTTATATCTCATATTTTAAATATATTTATAAAGGTTAACAAATTAAATCATGAAAAATTGTCCTTATTTTAAAAATGTAGTTAGCTTTATGCTTGTTAGCTAAAATAATAAAAAAGCATAAACTAGTTTTATTTATAAAACAAACAGTTAACAACTTATTTATTTTTAGCTTAGAATTTAACAAACTAACAGTTTACTTGGTTTGTTTATTCTTAACTTAGAATTCAACCAAATAACTGTTCAAGTACAAATAAATATTTTTTATATTTCTAAAAGTCTTACTAGTCTGTAATATTATATCTAGCATTTATAAACAGATTTTAAAAAATATATATAAGAATTTCAATGAAATAAATTTACAGTATAAATGTATCTTTTTTATTGTGCATTAGAATTTGTATTTGAATTACCAATTAATTATTATTATATTTTTTATACATTATCAATTAATAATCTTATAAATGTGACAGGTTCAGAGTTCAAATCTTAGTATTGATAGAAAATTTAAAAATTCTTTTTGTGTTACAATTAACTGTCTTTTACAATTTGTTGGCATAAGATATCTGTTACCTATGTCACATCAGCATGACTGATAGGTTATATGGCATTCATGTAACAGTTACATAATATTGTCCTTTGAAACAAGATCTGTGGTTATACAAAAAAAATGCAAACTAGTACCAGACAATGCAAACTTACAATAAGTTATTGTGGCTATGTAAATCATAAAAATCAAATAAAGTAAGACAGAAGTTCATTTGGAAGACCTAAATATAAAGGTAACCCAAACTTTCGAGAATGCTATTGTAAAGACTAGACCTATAAAATAAAGCTAGAACTTGTAAAACTAAACAAAGAGCTGGCCTTTGAGGAGAGGCCAAATGGAACCAACTAGGCTGTCAGAATCTGTTCTAGAAGAAAAGGTTACATGATAGCAAATATGTAAACCAGAAATGTATAATTATAATTTGCCTTTTTGAACTATCTGATTTGAGAGCTTAGTGAAACTTGAATTAAATACCAAAATAGTAGAAATATGTTGTAAAGTTAGTATCAGAGTTGGGGTAAACTCTACAATAACATAGTAGTTTAATAATATGTCCTGACTATCAGTATTGGTCTTAGCTATAGCAATACTGAGTCAGTTATAAGAATAGGATATAGAAGATTCTAAAAGGTTTAGTATAAGGTCAAAAGTTTTTTATATAAGTGAACTGCTTTAAAAACTTAGTGGCCATGGCATATTTTCATTGGCATCAGCTAGGATCATTAGTAAGCAGAAATAGGTAGATGGATACAGAAACTAGAATAGTTAAATAGGAAACCTACAAGCAGATTCCAAGTATGACAACTAGTATAGAACCTTTAGATAGACTACTTAAATTAAACAATGACTAAAGTTGTACAAATAACTAATTGTATACTTTTTCCATAGTTGTCCCTTATGATTATAAAGCATCTATTAGCCAAATATACTACTAATAAAATCCTAGGTCACAAGTTCTTACTTTAATATTTAAAAAAAAAATAATAATAATCTTGTAAATGAGCTAAATTATAGGTTTTTGAGAGAGGATAGCAATTTTAGTATAGTGGTTGGGTTGTCATCCTCCAAGTAGCAGGTCTAAAGTTCAAATCTTATCTATAATGAAATTTGGAAATTATATCTGCATTATGGTAACTGTTTTTTGTCGATCAGTTGGCCTCATGTAGCTGTTACTCAGGTACATCAAATTGGGTCCCTCTGACATTAGAAGCTTAGGCATCTATGTGAAGTATAATATTACATATATATAGAGAAATGTTAACTGGTGTTGCATAAGACTTTAGTGCAAACTCACTATAAGACCATCAGGTGTAGAAGACTAAGGAACTAAGGTAACAGAAACCTACTTAAAAATCTCTGAATAAAGAAGTAGCATAAACTTTTAATAGTACTATAGACTAGTTGAAGCCTATGAAACATCTTCATAGGAACTAAAGATTAAAACTGAACATCAAATATGTGTAAAGGAGCATATAACCAACCAGGCTATCAGATTCATTAGAGAAAAAGGATATATAAGTATACTATATTGAGCCATCTGAATTGGTAGTCTGGAATGAGTCTGATGGTTCTGAGTTGCGGCTAGTAGGAGATGATAGAGAAAATGTCAAGATGATAAGTGCTAGGATTCTAGTGAACTTTACAAAAGTAGAAATAATGTAATATAGCAGTTAAACAGATAACTTCTGTGACTGCAAGTATTAGGTAACTATAGTGTGTTGCATAAAACTAGGTCTATATATATAGAATATAAAGGCTCTAGTAAGTTTTCTATTAAGGATAAAGTAGTCCTAAGGGTAATGATAAGCATCAAGAACTTGAATAGGTGTAGCCTTGAGATGTTCTCATAATACAAGAAGGATTGCATATGCAGAAGGTTTAAATAAGCAAGACCTCTAGTCAGCTTGCAGATATGGCAACTAGTATAGAACTTATATAGCAATATATAAGCAACTACTTAAATTAGGTACCAAAAGTGCATATATAACTAATTGTAATCTCCAATGTAAAGGAGCTTCTGGAGGCACCTGTTTTCTAACAAAACTTGAATAAAATATCGCATCACCAAGATAGGGACTTTAAATATAAAAAAAAAAAATTTATAGATTTTTAAATATATAATTATTTTAGATTCTTATTTGTAATAATTTTTAAATATTAGGCTTTTATCTGTAATTATTTTTATTTTAGACTCTTATTTGTAATTATTTTAAACTATTATTTGTAATAATTTTCAAATATCAGGCTTTTATTTGTAATTATTTTTATTTTAAGCCTTCATTTGTAATTATTTTTATTTTCAAACTCTTATCTGTAAATTCTTCAAATATTTTTTATAATTAATAGTATTATAAAAAATATATATTATATTTATATATTTACAATAATTATTTAGATTAAAAAGTTATTTAAATCAAAGATTAAATAATTATTTATATAAAAAATAATTTAGATTAAAGATTATTTGGATTAAAAATCATTTAGGTCAAAGATTATTCAGGTCAAAGATTGTTTAGATCAAAAATTATTCAAATTAAAACTTATTTATATTAAAAATTTATTTAGATTAAAGTTTATTTAGATTAAAGATTATTTAGATTAAAAATCATTCAGGTTAAAGATCATTTAAGTTAAAGATTATTTAGATTAAAAATAAGTTAAATCAAAGATTATTTAAGTTAAAGATCATTTAGATTAAAAAACATTAAAAAACATTTAGATCAAAAATTATTTAAATCAAAGTTTATTCAGATTAAAGAACATTTAAATTAAAAAATATTTAAGTTAAAAACTATTTAGACTAAAAATTTTTTAGATCAAGGATTATTCAAGTTAAAAATCATTTAAATCAAAGATCATTTAGATTAAAAATTATTTAAATTAAAGAATATTTAGATTAAGAATCATTCAAATTAAATATTATTTAAATAATTAAGTTAAATGCAACTTATGTGATAGTGTCACATATGGAGATGATACTAAAAATAAATATATTAAAATATGTCATTTAAGATATAATAAATAGTAATTAAATAAGTGATTTTAATTACAGTATTAGGATCAGAGTTAGAGATACTTTGAGAATATTTATTAGGTTGACATTATACATGCAATGCATACACTTCTCTTACTTTAGTTCACAAGCAATCTTTTTTTTTTTATTATGAATTGACAAAATATTTACAAGCAATTATTTTTTCTTTTATTATTAATTGATAAAATATTTGCAAGACTAACTTTTTTCACTTTCTCTTATTAATACAATAATAGTACATTGTAAAATTTTTTTTCTCTCTTTAAGAATTTTTTTTTTCACTTGCTCTTCTTTTTTTTTTTTTTTTTTTTAATAAACATAATTCAACCCAGAAGTTTTTTTTTCTCTTGTGCTTTTATAAGACACAGTTCTCTTTCTCTCATAGTACATTAGCATACATTTGTTTTTTTTTCTTTAGAGTTTTTTTTTTTTTCTATCATTATTATAAACATTATGGCATAAAAACCTTTTACTAGTTTAGAAAATATTTTACCTGCTGGTTATTCAAATGAAATTGAAGCGAACATTTATGACTTAACATATGAAAGCTTATCATCAAATAAGGACAATTATAATTTAATATATGAAAGTTCACCACCTGATAATATGGACAATTATGATTTAATATATAAAAGTTCATTTGATAAGGACACTTATTCTTTAACAAATGAAAGTTCACTCAATAAGAGTGCTTATAATCTAACAAATGAAAGTTTGGACATTGAAAATGAAACTATTAGAGAACCAGAAGATATTACTAAAAACAATTCAACAAGTACAAGTAGTTACTAGTTAGGGTACTTACCTCAAGTTCATGTTGAACTATACAATAAAAAGACTTTTGAGACTTGGGAAGAATATCAAGAAACATTAGAGCATTATGCAAAGCAAAATAACTTTGTCTTAAATAAGAAACAGATAGACAATAGTCATAATCCATGTCAACAAACATGGGATTGTGAACGTTTTGAAAAATATATTTCACATAAGACTGCTCCTCCTGAAAAGCAAAGAAATAAAGGATCAAAGAAAATTAATTGCCCTTTCCTTATTAATGCGTCTAAAAGTAAGAAATCTGATAATGAAATAATAATTAAATTGATGTCTATGCATTTTGAACATAACCATCCTTTGGTTTCTGAAAATGCTATTTTTGCTATTCAATACCAGAAGCTTACTGTAGAAATGAAAAATCTTATTGAAAGTTATATGCTTTGTGATCTTGATGTCCTCTCTCAGATTAGATTGCTTTATGGGTTGTTTCCCGAAGCAACTATAGTAGATTATGATGTAAAAAATTATGTATATAAGTTTTGCCGAATTCATAAAATGCAGAGTGATGATGTTGCAAAACTGCTTCAACATCTTGAAAAAGAGCATGCTAAGGATCCTGATTGGTATGTTCAACCATTAATTGACTCAGAAACAAATAGATTACAAGGTGTATTCTATATGTTACCTGAACAAAGAGAACTTTGGTGACGCTATGCAGACATTATTTTAAATGATAATATGGCATCAACAAATACTTATAACTTACCTTTAAGCATTTTTGCTATGGTTAATAATAATTTTAAATCAAGAATAGTTGCACAGGTTGTGTTACCTGATGAAACAAGTGAAAGTTACAAATGGTTATTAGAGCAAACAATTGATGCTACAGGAGTCCACCCTGGTGTTTTTATTATCAATGCAGACCCAGGTCTTGAGAGTATTGTTCCAGAAATATATCCAAATACTTACCTTGTTCACTGTATTTGGCATATTGGATGTAATATTGAAAAACAATTATCTAAGGCTCTAGGTGATTGTTATGATGATTTTCTCAGAGCATTTTACTATGCCTGAAATGTTTTATGTAAAGAGCATTTAAAAAATACTGGAAACAACTAATGATTAACTTTCCTGAATCAACCAAATATATGTTTAAATAACTAGATCCATGTAAAACAACTTGGGCAAAGGCATTTACTAGTAAAGTTTTTATAGCAAAAATAACTTTCATCTAAAGATCTAAGTCAATAAACAATATGATCAAATGAAATATAAATGAAAAGATTCAATTATATATTTTGTTTAAATGAATTGAATTACGTGTTGCAGAAGAGCAATTTACTGGGCAGTTTTCAGCTTGGCATGAAAAAACATTATCATATGAAACATCAAATATTTGTAGAAGACTGTTTTCAAATATATATAATATTTTACAAAAATATGTAACATCTAAAATTTTACAATTGCATGTTGATTAAATAAATGAGGCTGTTATATATAATTGTAAAAAGATTACTTTTAAAGATCTATACAATTTGGCACTGAATACAGTAGAGAATAGGCTAATTGAACTTAAATATGATTTTTGTCAAATATGACTTAATGAGCTTTTTGAAAGAATTAATTATTCTTTAGTAGCTGAAGTTTGGGAAGTTCAATCAATTGAACATAAGTCTAGTGTTGAATAACATGTTGTTTTGCTAAAAAAATAGCTTTTATTTATGTACTTGTATCTTGTTATTTAGAAGTAAAGTTGTTTGCTGCCATTGGTTCTGTGTTATTTTACAATCTAAACAAGAACTATTTCATATTTCTCTAATTTCAAAGCATTGATATAAAGATAAAATGATGAATACATTAGTTATTAATGAACAATTTATAAGAGAAAAGTCACAAGAACATAGCAATTCAACATCAAACTTATTAAACATACCTTCATTTTCAACTGTTGCTAAATCATAGAATATAATGTTTATTGAACCACCTGAACAAACTGCTGCAAAAGTGATTGGTTAGAAGCAATTGACTAAAGAAACATTACTTGGACTTGTGCATAAATGTGTAGAATTAGTTGATTATGATGATTCCAATGATTTTGACAGTTTAATGAAAATGTTTAAGAAATGGATTTATAAACATGAAGAAATACAATGCAACAAAGTGATAAATATGTCACCAAACACCAGACATGATGAAGTTTCAGAATATGAGCAAGTTACTGAAAATGATCAAAATTTAGAACAAGAACTGGTTATGAAAGAAGATCAGTTTATAGAGAGGAATCAAATTTTAGAAAACACTCAAGTTTATGAAACTATATACCTTGATGTTCAGAACTTGCTTCGACATATTAGAAAAGGATAATCTACAAAAAAGCAAATTAAATCAGCAATTAAAAGAAATAAAAAAATAAAAACAACAAGTAATAATTCACATTATTGTAATGTTTGTAGTAGTATAGATCATGACAAATAAAATTGTCCTAACAAATAATTAGTATGAAAATTATGTATATATTATTTCACATTGTATAGCTTTAGCACTTTAATTGCATTAATCAAATTTAACTTGTTTTATAGTATTAACTGTGTAAAGCTAGCTATTATTAATTAGAGTTGGCAAATTATTATGTCTAATTGCGTTTGATTTTTTTTGAACATATATCCAATTTTTTTTGAATATATGTCTAAAAAAAATTAAATGCAATAAGACATAATAATTTGCCAACTCTACTATTAACTGAATCAATTTGATTATTGTTAGATTTTAATGCTTTAGTTAAACTGAGTGAAGCAGAGATAACAGCCATAGTGTAGTGATTGCAACAAACTAGCAAAGCTGGTCAATAAAGGGAAGTTTTGTATAGTTAAGTTGCTAATATATAATTTACTGTACTATGTCTAGTTGTATTTGATTTTTTTTTTTGAACATATATCCAATTAAAATTGGATATATGTCCAAAAAAAAAATTAGACATAGTGTTATAGAACGATTTATTATTATTTTATTATTATTAGATTATTATTATTATTTAGTATTAGTTATTCTATTATTGTATTATTATTATTATTAGTAGAAGTTGCCGGAACATTCCGGTTGATTAGTAATCGCTTAGTCACTTAGATGCTTAGTCACTTAGTCGCTTAGTCGCTTAGACGCTTAGTCGCTTAGTCGCTTAGTCGCTTAGTAATTAGTCGCTTAGTAATCATTAGTCATTAGTTGCTAGAACCTTCCG